TTCATGATGATGACTTTTATTCTTTTATTTAGAAGATATATATTTGTTAAAATGCTCCAGCCTCATCGTGTTATACGTACATAAAAGTTTTATTTAACGTTAACGTTTTTTTTTTTTGAAGAATGCCAAAAAAAGGATAAATCCGGTGATTCAATCAAAGAATGATGTAAATATTAAAATGTGACTCAAGTACAACATAATTACACACCTTATAAAGCGGTTCGTGATACGTAAAGATGTAAATCAACGCAGCAAGAGAACAAAAGAAAATTAATCAATGTGATCGTGTGAACAAACTCAGTAATCAAGCATTTCCGAAAAAGTCGTACCTAAATAGCACAATTATATATATATATATTGTTCGAATTTTTACCCTCATTTCTCACGCAATAAAAATCATTTCTCACGAAATATAAAAACGGAATAAAAAGTCATCTCACACCAAAAATCATTTTCACGCATCCAACTCATTTTCTCAGATCTTAAATAACGAAATTGTTATTTTTGTTCACAATCTTGTAAAAAAAAAAAAATGATTGGTCAGAAATTTGTTTTACGTTTTACACCAAAGAACTTGGCTTTATTGTAATTATTGAATTTTATAATTATTTCTACTTTTTGAAACTTTTTGAACCCTTTTGAAAATAAGATAAATTTCTAATTAATTTTCATTAATTTTCATTAATTTTAGGCTTTCAGTTCCAGTATTAGGTGGTACTGCTTACACCTTATCCAAGAACAGATTTAATTCTATTGCAGATGATAGCTTGAATTTCGCAGATTACCGAGATATCGATACTCTACGTATGGAATGGAAGAAACGTAATAATGGTCTTGGATTAAAAGATGTTAATCGATCTTGTGGTGGGGTTTAGGTTATGGTTTACATATTAAAAAAAAAAAAAAACATTTTATCAATATGAATTGAATGTTTTATCAATATGAATTAACGGATTCTTCATACATGAATCCAAAGAACTTTGATATAATTGATTAGCTTATCACGACATCTAAATATTTGACAACATTAATACGTACGCACGTACGACGTGCGTAGGTAATTTTATTTATAACTAATGATTAACTGATATGTATTAGTTAACCTAGCATAGTAATTTATAGTAAATAGTAAATATTATTGCACCATTTTGCATAATAAAATTCACGATCAAACATAGTACACAAGCTTACAGTATCTTGAACAGAATACCATTTCGATTTTAATTTTTACTACAGTTTTAAAAGATATGTGGTCTATGATTTAGTTGCTTACTAAAAATTTGGCATCGATATCGATATGAAAAAAATGTTACACAATATACTGCAGTTTGAAGACACATAATAAACAAAACATTGTTGTTGTTATACGACTTTTGTATGCATGTGCATACTATGTATTTCTCATAATTAGACATCATAATTAATTTCATAATTAGTAATATCATTTCTAAATTTAATTATTAAACATAATCTTGGCGTGGAAATACGTATGAGAAAGAATTCCGAATTTTATTACATACTATCATTTATACTGTATATAACTACGTATATATACTTTTATATCATGAAACTCGTGGAAAATGTTAAATAAAGAAAAGTTTTTCCATCATCTTAAAATGTTAGCTAAAATAGTTGCAGAATTAGCCAAATAACAAAGAAACCATAACAATAAATAACAATACGTAATAACGATAATACCGAATTTAGGCTCTATAATCAATTGATTAATAATAATTTTTACTACTGCAAATTTGAGATCACGAGTTTTAGATTATGTATTATATTTATTATTATTTTAATAAAGCATACGTTATATGCGTTGATATCAATATAATACATAATCTAAAACTCGTGATCACCCGCCATCGCGACAATAATTCGGGAGGATGGTCCACGAATTTTGAAATTAGCTGTAATGGTTAATGAAGCGGATCCAGGGCGACCACGAATTTTTCAGGCCACGTGATGATCGGCAGCAAATTTATCCAATGGGAATTGTAATTAAGTGCAATGTAACACGATCATAACAAACATTCGTTTTGACCTTTATCTCAAGAATTTACATAAGAATTCGCCTTTTATGCTCTAATTAACGACTAATTTTACTATATATTTCTTATCTCCAAACTCTAAATATGACACTAACCCTAACTTTAACGAATTTCAAGATGTTTTGTGATCCGAAAAATTCGTGGTCGCCTTGTTAATAACACCATGAGGAGTCTACGTAGACCAGGGACCAACAAAAAATCAATCCAAATAAATCCAAATTTTTAACAATATAGTATCTATAAATAAAAAAGCTTTTATTGGCTTAAAATCGCTTTTACTCACGTGAAATAATTAGCTATGAGTAGGGCTAGTCACTTTCTGTTGCAACGGAACCCAAATTCTGCCTGCTTTACATTTCAATTTATGCGATAAAGTTTTCGAATTATGCTGTAAATTATGCGATTTATGTATAAATATGCGAAAATATGCGATCACCAGGACTGTAAAATTATCATAATTTCATAACCTTCTAGGTAAATTACTAGGCCTCCCAAAATCCCCAACAACCATGCTCGTGTTTGTGTTCATTGACTGTTTACTATCCAAGATGCGATATTTTTAATATCAGCCGTTTTATGCGCTCAATATGCTATTGCATATGTTTTTGCGATAGAATCTGATTTATGCGCATAGCTATGAGATAGCTATGAGGACATGGCCTAAATTATAAGTTAATTTCGTAATTCTGGCCAAAATCCAAATTTTTTCAAATTTTTTACGTTATCCAAATAAATTTTTGCAATTTGATATCCAAATTTTTTAACAGTCCTTGACGTAGACATTTTTGCAGTAACGTGATGTGGCACATTGTGGCACATTCGGATAAGTTTTTTTGGCTTTATGTTATGTTTCCAGTTAAGGTTCGTAGTTCATCCCCATATGTAAAATTAAGTTCCTGACATTTTTTTTCAAAGGCCGATTTAAACATTAGTTTTTGTTTTTTTCTCTTTTTTTCTTCTTGCACGCGTACATATTTATTTCATTTAGGCCAAGCCAAGTTGATTTTCTGTTTAACATAACATGAGATGACTTGTAAGAGGGGGGATACGTACAAATTAATGCTGCAATCTTATTGGTTAATTTGATGTGTATTGACCTATATAGATTTTGAAAAATAGAGGGGTTATTTAATATTATATGTATTAGTTCCTATAATTTTGAAAAATTGAGGGGGTGGTTAAATAGGAAATCAAATTGGCTTGGCCTTATTAATCTATTTCAAGATAAGTTATTTATCAATCCTTTTTTTAAAGTATGTTTACATAATCGTTTACCGGTAAATGTTTATCAAAAAAGATAATTTTATCATTGAGTATGCAGTATGCCCAATTTATTGTTGAATTAATATATTTCTACATAGCCATAGGCTACCATAGCCGTAATTAAAATAATCCTTTTTTTATTAATTAGGGGTAGGTGAGGTAAAAATAGTATGCGTGTGGAAAGAAGTATTTTATAGTAAAATTTCACAAGGAATTTTTTTGTTAGAGCCCAAAGAGCAGTTTCATATACTCAATTTTGAGTTATAACAATTTTGAAAACGATCGTTTGTTTTGAATTTCCTGATTGTGTTACGTTACACCTAGGGCTGTTAAAAAGTGGACTTTTAGCGTTAGGACCGAATCAAGCCTGTCCCGGACAAAGTCTCATATGCATGTCTTTGTTCTAGAAGGGCATGCATGTGAATGGTTAATTTACATCGAATCGATTTGACCAAAATACAGTACTGATTATTATTATTACATGCACGGACTCGACTCAAGGACTAAGTTCTAATCGAAGACACCTGATCTTTAAATTTGATTGACTTTTATGGGATGCGGCTACAGTTGCCATGGCTACAAATATAATAATTCTTCTAAAACTGAAAATGATTTTTTAAACTCAATTATCGTTATTTCAAAATATGATAATTCTGAATTCTCCCAAATGTTGTGATTTCTTATTCGAATTCAATACAACCAGAACTATAGTTTGAATCATGGTCTTAAATTGACTTCAAAACTATAATTAAAACTATGGTATTAACTTAGCTTTAAAACTATAATTCAAATCATAATTTTAAATTGGCTTTAAAACTATAATTCAAATTACAAGTTTCAAAACTATAGTTTGAATTATAGTTTTAGAGCTAATTTAATACTATATGTTGAATTACAATTTTGAATCTGATTTAAGACCATAATTTGAATTATAGTTTTGGAGCTAATTTAAGACTATGTGTTGAATCACAGTTTTGAACCCAATTTAAGACCATAATTTGAATTATAGTTTTGGAGCTAATTTAAGACCAGTGTTGTCAGACCGGACCGGACTCGGACCAGACTCGAACTTGGACAACCAAGCTTGTCCGCCGGACAAATCTAACTTACCAATCATATTTACGTACTGTACGTATCGGTATTTGATCTAGAAAGCTTATCAGTAAAAATGGCACATGAGCAAATATATCTTTGCAAATAAATTATTTTTTTAAATAAGATAAATACTGGTCTTCTTTTTCTTTTTTTCAGATTAGGTTTCATTTCAGGTTTTCTTCATGCTTTGCTCAGGATTGAAAACAGGTCTTTAAATAAGATAAGTACTGTCTTCTCTTTGTTCTTTCTTTATTTTTTTTTTCTTGTTGACTTTTTTTTTCTCTTTAGGTTTCACTTCATTGATTTCGGAATCGGGAACTGGGCTTTATATAAAATAAGTATTGTTCTTCTCTTTGTCTTTCTTTAGTTTTTTTTCTTGCTAACTTTTTTTTTCTTTAGGTACACTTAAGGTTTCTTTGATGTTTCGTTTCATTGGCTTTGGGATCGGGAACTGGATTTAGATAATTACTAGTCTTCTTTTTGTTCTTTTTTTTTTTAGCTTTTTTTTTTTGCTAACTTTTTTTTTCTCTTCAGGTTTCACTTCATTGGTTTTGGGATTGGGAACTGGGCTTAACATAAGATAAGTATTGGTCTTCCTTTTTTTTTTTTTTTTTAGACTTTTTTTTTTTACTAACTTTTTTTCTTTTCTTTAGGTTTTGCTTCAAGTTTCACTTCAGGTTTTTTTCACATTTCGCTTCATTGGTTTCAGGATCGGGAACTTTTAAATTAGATAATCACTAGTCTTCTCTTTGTCTTTTCTTTAGCTTCTTTTTTTTTTCTTGTTAACTTTTTTTTTTAGTTTTATTCAGGTTTTCTTCATGTTTCGCTTTATTGATTTTGGAATCAGGAACTGGACTTTACATAAGATAAGTACTGGTTTACTCTTTGTTTTTTAGCCTTTTTTTTCTTGCTAACTTTTTATTTTCTCTTTAGGTTTTCTTCGTATTGGTTTTAGGATCAGGAACTGGGCTTTAAATAAGATAAATATTGGTTTTCTCTTTGTTCTTTTTTTAACATTTTTTTCTCACTACCTTAGGTTCGCTTCAGGGTTTTGCTTCATTGGTTTCGGGATCAGGAACTGGGCTTTATATAAAATAAGTATTGGTCTTCTTTTTTTTTTTAGTCTTTTTTTCTGCTAATTTTTTTTTCTTCTTTTTAGGTTTTGCTTCAGGTTTTGCTTCAGGTTTTCTTCACATTTCGCTTCATTGGTTTTAGGATTGGGAACTGGGTTTTAAATAAGATAAGCACTGGTCTTCTTTTTGTTTTTTCTTTAGTTTTTTTTTTCTTGCTAACTTTTTTTCTTTAGTTTCATTTAGGTTTCATCATATTTTGCTTCATTGAGTTTGGAATCGAGAACTGGGCTTTATATAAGATAAGTACTGGTCTTCTCTTTGCTCTTTAGCTTTTTTTTTTATAACTAACTTTTTTTTT